CCGGGTCCGGCGCCGGTCCGGAGTCCGGCGCCGGTCCCGGGTCGCGGAGTCCCGGGTCCCGAGTCCCGCGCCGGTCCCGGGTTCCGGGTCCCGGGTCCCGCGCCGGTCCGGGTCCGGGTCTGGCGCCGGTCCCGGGTTCCGGGTTTCGCGCCGGTCCCGTCTCCCGGGTGTCGCGTTGGTCCCCGGTCGCGGATCTCGCGCCGGTTCCGGGTCCTAGGTCCCGGGTCCAGCGCCGGTTGTTATGTGAAGTGTTAAATTGCGTTGCTACTTTGCTGCCCAGCTAGTGGCGGTGCTGGGGCCTAGGCTCCGGGTTCGGAGGTGAGAGGCCGCCCCCGGGGGTCTGGCGGCCCACGTCGGCGCTACGGCGCGAGCTTGGGGCGCTGGTTGGAGCGGTCCGCTCGCCGGTGCAGTTTTCGGCCATCCACCTGCTCCGCAGGGGGCCCAGCAGAAATTTTCTCCAATGCGAGCTCACTTTAATTACGAAAGCTTCTGGGTTGAAGCATCCAGCATTTCCCCCGCCTCCTTTCCTCCCTCTCTTTGTCGTGCTCCTTCCTCCTCCTGGGCCTCCTCTCTTGACGTTGTGTTCGGTTTTATAGTGTTGGCCGTTTGGGCCCCATGGAATGCTCGCGACGTGGCTATTCAAGCTGGACTGAGGTGATTCTTGTGCGCAGCCTAACACATTGGTATTCCTGGCGTTTCACTTCCTGCGCAGCTCGGCAGCTCTCGAGCGTTTTCCGTTTCTTCGTCCGCCCGCCGTCAATTTAGGTTTTTTTTTTGTCCGCCCGCCCTCTTCCTGGCTTTTCTTTTCTTTTCTTTCGTCTTCCGTCTTCGTTAGCGGTAAACCGATGCACTATCCATCGATGCCCGCGGGAGCTTCGTTGGTCGAAGCGTCTCCGCCACCAGCTCGCGCATGGCGCCTGCGGCGAGGCTTTGCCGCCATCAGTTCGCGCACGGCGCCCGCTGCGAGGCGATGTTACCAGCTGATGTGTGCGAGGCTGGTCATGGGCTTGCACTTCGCGCGGGGGAAAAAGGGGAGCAAAATGTTCACAATCGAATGGTCGCCATGTTGGTATGGAAACTACAGTGAACCCGTAGCGGTGGCCGACCGGATTTCGAGTGAACCACGCGGTGGGCGGGTCGCCCGTCGCGCGCGCGCGAGCGCGTGGCGAGTTCAGCAGTGTCCACGATAGGAAAGTGTCCGGTTTGGAAACGTATGTGAGGCCATAATCGGTGACCGATTGGATTTTGAAGTGAGCATGGGTTGTGTACAATTTCGTGCATGATCCATGCAGAAATCCCTTACGCACACGCGCGTGGAGAGTTGTGGTGGAGAGGTCTGTCATGTCCACGGTTGGAAAATCGCCATGCTGGCTTGGAAACCGCAGTGACCCCTGAGCGGTGACCGACAGGATTTCGGGTGACCCGCGCGTTGGGCGGGTCACCCGCCGCGCGTGCGCGCGCGAGGCGAGTTTTGTAATGTATGCGATAGGGAAAGCCGCCATGTCGCCCAGGAAGTTAAAATGAACCCTGTAGCGGTACCCGACAGGATTTCGGGTGACCCGCGCGGTGGGTGGGTCACCCGCCGCGCCCGCGCGCGTGGCGAGATGTGTACTTCCCACAATCAGAAAGCCGCCATGTTGGCCTGGACTGTTGCAGTGAATCCTTTGCGGTGACCTGTATCATTCTGAAGTAAGCATGCGTTTTAAACACATTCCCGAGTATAGAAAAGACATCCCGTTTGCGAGAAACATAAAGCGAGTCCCTTGCGGTCACCGAGCGCGCGCGGGTGACGCGCGTCACCGGTGCGGCGCGTGGAGATTTCGGGTTTGTCCAGCCACAGCTACTGGCAGCGCGCGTGATCCCCGCAACAACAAAATCTGCCCCCTCTCTCAACTTGTTTCTCCTCCTCATCCCCCTCCCTCCTCCTCCTCCTCCTCCTCCTTCTCCTCCTCCTCCTCCTCCTCCTCCCTCCTACTCCTCCTCCTCCTCCTCCCTCCTCTCCTCCTCCTCCTCCTCCTCCTCCCCTCCTCCCCTCCCCTTCCTCCTCCTCCTCCTCCTCCTCCTCCTCCTCCTCCTCCTCCTCCTCCTCCTCCTCTGCCTCCCACTCTCCCCCCTTCGCCTGTGGACTCCCGGGCCTCGGAGTTTTAAGGCCCTCTAGGCTCTCGCGCCGTGGAGTGGTCTGGGGCTCCTGCCAGCCCTGGAACCCTGGGAGGGGCGGGGCCCGCTCGGGGCGGGCCGGGGCTGCGCCCGCGGTGGCCGGCGCGCTTGCCCCGCCGCTCCCGGGGGGGGCGGCCCGCTCTGAGGCTCGCCGCCCGGCCGCTCGTCGGCGGCATGGCGACCCCCCGCGCGGCCCCGCCTGTCCCTTGGCATCGCTCGGACGTGTGCGTTTTTTCCTTGGCGAGGACCATCGAGGAGCATCCTCGATCATTTGGCGAAAAAACCACGCACGGAACCGAAAAAAACAGAGGGAATGGGCGTCCGAGCGATGGCGAGGTCCGGGGAGGGGCCCGCGCCCGGAGAACTCGCCGGGGGCCCGCGGCACTGGGTTCCCCCGGCGCGCCGCGGGGGAAGGTGCAGCAAAACAGTTCCGGCATCCGCGGGGCGAAGACATTACCCCAGTGCGACCCTACCTAGGAGGTGGAGCCCCTAGAAGAGCAGCATTCGCAGTAACGGTAAACGCCGTCCTCCTTCTTCTTCTCATCGTCGTGGTTGCGCTTGGTTTTGCTTGTTTTTGCTTTTGCTTGGTTTTGCTTTTGCTTTGCCTTCGCACACGCACACGCGCATATTTCTGCATTCGCTCACCGGGTGGGCTCTCTGATCGTCTTGTTGCACATTGCTTGTGCTTTGCCTTTCCTTTGATTTGATGTTGCTTTGCTTTGCGTTGCTTGTGCTTTGCTTTGTTGTTGCTGCTGTTGCTTTGCCTTTGCTTTGCTGCTATGCTATGCTATGCTATGCTGCACTATGCTATGCTATGATATGCTGCGCTATGATATGCTACTCTAGGCTGCGCTATGTTATGTTAGGCTATGTTATGATATGCGATGCGGCGCTATACTATGCTATGCTGTGATGTGCTGCGCTATGCTATGCAACGCTACGCTACGCTATGCTATGCTGGGCTGTGCTATGATATGCTAAGCTAAGCTAAGCTAAGCTACAGCTACGCGAAGCTAAGCTAAGCTACAGCTACGCGAAGCTAAGATGAAGCTAGGCTAAGCTAAGCTAAGATGAGATACGCAAAGCTAAGGTCAGGGGTCGCAACTGGGGGAACCACGGGGCGGGGACCGGGGGAACCGCCCGGGGCGGAGCCCACTGCCCGGCCCCTTTTAAGCCCAGCGAGTAAGAACCCTCCAGGCAGAGCCTAGGTAGGGAAAAACTGGTAATTCAAAAAGGAGCCCAACTGTAGCAACCCCAACCAGGGCAATTGTAGCCACCTAAAACGAGGCCAAGAGTGGCAAATTGGTCGAAACCACGAGCTAGTTCACTACTGTAGTACATGAGTTTGGCCGAAACTGCGAAAAGAGGGCCCACGTATAGTAACTCAAAAAAGAGGCCTAATGTAGTAACCCAGCAACGGGGCCAAGTGCAGTAAGTCGAAAACGCGGTCGACTGTAACAGCCAGAAAGGAGGCCAAGTGTAGTAAGTCAAAAACGATGTCAACTGTAGTAACCAAAAAACGAGACCACGTATAGTGATTCAAGAGCGAAGCCATTTGCAGGAACGAAATAACGAGACCAAGTGTATCCAGTCAAAAACGAGGCCAATTGTAGTAACCAAAAAACCTCCCCCCTTTTCCCCCCCTCCTCCCCCATGTTTTTCCTCGTCGTCGTCGTCGTCGTCATCGGCGTCGTTGCCTTCGTCGTCGTCATCGGTTACCTCCTCCTCCTCCTCCTCCTCCTTTTCTTCCTCTTCTTCCTCCTCCTCCACCTTTTTGTTTTCATTGGGGGGGGGCAGGAGGAGGAGGCGGATGAGGAGAAGGAAAAACGGGGGCAGTGAGCTCGCGCACGCGCGGCGGATGACCCGCCCACCGCGCGGGTCACCCGAAATCTTGTTAGCCACCGCTGAGCGTTCACATTCGTTCCCATACCAACATGGCGACTATGCGATTGTGCGATTGTGCACACGGCAGAACTCCGCGCGCGCGGGGAGCCCTTTAGTGTCCATCATAGGATACTTACACCCAAACCACTGTCAAGTTGGAGATCCAATCGGTCAGCGTTCAACAGTTGACAAGATCCGTAAGCCTCGACAGGCCTCGACGCTGCTCGAGGCCTGCCAAGGGCTGTCGAGGCTTACCGAGGTTGGATAGGGGTTACCAGACCTTGCCAGGGTCTTGTCATGCGCTGTGAATGAGAACAAGTCGAGACAATCAATGCAAAACCAAGACAATGAGCCATGAAACACACATGTCAAGACATCGCGGAGAAACATACAATACGACCATGATGAAAAATCGTGACTCACGGGGGTCTGGGTCTGCTGGATTGGCGGCTGATTTGCCGTCGGCGAGCGAGCGTCGACGAAAAGGGGCTTTGCCGATGCGCTCGCCGCTCCCCGTCCATGAGATGCGCGTTGGAATGCTAGCAGCCGGTTGGCCGTCGACCTTTCGCTTGCAGCCCGACAGGAGGGCAGCCGTTGTGTTAGCAAGCCTCTCACTGCATGCAACCGAATCCCCAAAATATCAATGTCGTGTGTTTTTTCGTCCGGCCTTGGGGAACAGGGGCGGGCGCGCCCGACGCGAATTTGGCCCCAGCGAATAACGTTTTCGATAGAACAGGAGTAGAACCAAGAGGACTTTCCGAATGATATCTCGGCCTTACTAGCCAGCCCCGCCCTGGTTGGGGACAGTTCCTGCGAAACTCGAGAGAAGCAGCATCGATTCCCACCTTGGGGGGGAATCGGCCAGTAGAGCCAATGCAATGTCAGTGGGAACGGAGATCGGATCACTGATGTTCAAAATGCCGTCGGCGAAATAATGCCAGCTCTGAACCCCTCACGAGGAGCCAGAGGTGCACGCTCTGCAGGGGTCCAGCGTGGACGCGGCGCGCACAGCAGACGCCTCTGCGAATGGAGGCGTGGCCTGGAGCTGCTCCGCAAGAGCAGACCTTGCAGATGACGAGGACTACGGCCAGGGAATCGGGGCCAGGTACTTAAGCAGGGCAGAGGAGGAAGAGGAGGAGGAGGAGGAGGAGCAAGAGGATCCGAGGTGGGGATTTGTCCATCACCACCGCCTGGGTCATCTTTTTTCGGGGACCTTGGCACGCGGCGGATCTGGATATGTTCGGTCCCCGCTTGCGGCCACAATGTTTCCATGTGGGCCACAAAGTACCCATGGTCCCGGAGAGAAACCCCAATCATAATGCTTGTTGGGGCTATGGGGTTTTGGGTTTATAGGGCTAGAAGGCTGTTGGGCTATAGGGCTATTGGGCTATGAGACTAGAGGGCTAGAGGGCTATGGGGCAATGGGTCTATAGGTCTATAGGGCTACAGGGCTACAGGGCTAGAGGGCTAGAGGACTAGACGGCTAGAAGGCTAGAGTGCTACAGGGCTAGAGGGCTAGAGGGCTACAGAGCTACAGGTGTAGAGGGCTAGAGGGCTATAAGGCTATATATAGGGCTATAAGGCTGTAGCGTTATTGGGCTATTTGCTATAAGGCTATAGGGCTATAGAGCCAGAGGGCTGCAGGGCTATAGGGCTATAGGGTTATGGGGCACCCGGGCACCCGGGCACCCGGGCGGGCCGCCGAAATCGGCGGCGCAGCTAACCTAACCGTAAGAATCCGCTGGGAGCCCTACAGAGGCAAGCTCTGATTGGGGAATATCCAACCCACCGCCCGCTGGGGTCCCGAATCCTCGGCCCCCCAGTCGGCTCACATGGATATATCCCCACCTCACAGAGGAGGAGGGTAGGGAGGAGGAGGGTGACATCGGAGCAACCGCGCGCTGCGAGTCGTCGTCAACGCCGACGACGGCGGCCGCGGAGGCGGCGAGGACGAGGACGAGGACGAGGACGAGGACGAAGACGAGGACGTGACCAAATTTGGCCTCGCCTCTGGCTGGCTGGTGTTCTGTCGGTCGCGGCCCTCCTGGGGCTCCCTCGCCCCGGCCCCCACAGAGGCGCTCTCGCGCCCCGGGGCTCCCATAGAGGTCTCTTCTTCTGCACCCGGGCGATGTCGCGCAGGATCGGGCCCCTGGGCCGTGGCAGACCAGTCTGGCTCGAAGACTGCCGTGGAATGGCAGGGCTCAGGGCCCTCGTCCCGAGCTCTCGCGATGCTGTGACTTCGGTCGCCGCGCCGGATCTCTGGGGGCGGGCCGCGAGGCTGCCCGCGGGTCCAGAGGAGCGCTGGTCGGAGGACGTCTGGGCACGCTCGAGAGATCCACCTGCCGGGGGTGCAGAAACACCGATGCTGGCCAGGCCCAGGTCGGCGTAGGGCTAATGGTCTGCGCCCTCCCCAGAGGGCGCGGGCGGCCGCGTCGGCCCCGTGCTGGGCGGCGGCGAGGTTATCGTGGCGGTGGAGACCACGAGGCACTTCCAGAGAGGCGGCGGGGGCCCAGAAAGCTCGGACGGGGGGAAGCGATGCAGTCAAGACGCCGAAATAAGGATCTTTCTGGGCTCAGGAAGGGGGAGGAGGAGGAGGAGGAGGAGGAGGAGGAGGAGGAGGAGGAGGAGGCGGCGGGAAGAGGACGAGGACGAGAGAAGGAGGGGAAGGGGAGGAGGAGGGGGAGGAGGAGGAGGAGGATGAGGAGGAGGAGGAAGGGAGGAGGAGGACGACGAGGAGGAGGGAGGGAGGAGGAGGGAGGAGGAAGGGAGGAGGAGGAGGACGAGGAGGAGGGAGGGAGGAGGAGGGAGGAGGGAGGGAGGAGGGAGGAGGAGGGAGGAGGGAGAAGGGAGGAGGGAGGAGGGAGGAGGGAGAAGGAGGAAGTACAATCGGGAATATCCTCTCTTGATTTTGGCCAGGGAACCTCCACGTGGCCAGGGGTCGCCGTGGCCAGAAAAGCCCCTTCGCTCCTTGTTCTGCGTTCCTCGTTGGCAGCACGGTGACTGTGCCGATAGGCTGCTGCTCGTCCTTGAGCGCCCTCGTCGCTACGGCTGGATGGTCGTCAGCTAGTCGGATTGCACCCCAGGAGAGGTGCGGCATTGCACTAAGAGAATCCTTGGTGTAGGGGATCCCCAGCCTACCACAGCAGTTTTGTGCGGGCATCGTTCTCCAGTCGCAGGCCTACAGGTTCTGGTCGCCGTCCTGGTTCTCGCCTTCAGTTTGCGCACCGCGCGGCCGTCACTGCTTTTCCTTTGGCTTTCCTTGTCCCTCTTCTCGTCGTCTCGTTGTCATCGCCATCTTCCTTGTTCTCGTTGTTTACCTCGCGCCCCCCACCAGCATGTGGAAAGTTAAAAGCGAGTTGTCCATATGATTTCGCACGGTTTCTGCCTCGCTCGGCGCCATTGTTTTGCCAGGCGTTGGTCACTGGCAATGCCCACCAGCAGTCTTTCTCTTCTCAGCGCATCGAGCGTCCCCGAGGGTCGCGGGATCTTGTCGACGCCGATCTAAGCAATGGTCCATGCCAGCCGTCGCCGATTCGCCAGGCTGATCCACGAACTGATGATGACCAATATGGACGATGACCATGATCGACACTTACGTCTATGCGTTCAGTCTCAGTCATGATCGTTGCCTTCTTTCAACACATCCGATCTCGGCGGCGCGCCCAGGGGAGAAGGCAGCGGGGGGGGGGGACTTTCAGTGCCGTTTTTTTTAATACATGCTCCGCGTGCGGATCATGTATTAAGCATGCAGGGATTTAGTATTAAAAACAACGATGAGTTCATGCATACATTCATTCATATATTAATCATGTATTAAACATCCGATGTGTTTAACTTCCCATGGATTAGACAAAAAAACTGCCCTGTGCGTAGAAGTCTCGGGAGGCCTCCGAAGCCAGAGATGCTTTCTCGGACGGCCGAGGGGGGCTCTGAGGGGCCCCCGCCGGCTCCTGCAGACGCCTTGCCCCCCCTCGCGCTAAGTATTTCCGCCTCGACGCGCCGCCGATTCCTGACCACCACTCCGACCGGGAGGAGGAGGAGGAGGAGGAGGAGGAGGAGGAGGAGGACGAGGGGGAGGAGGAGGAGGAGGAGGAGGAGGAGGAGGAGGAGGAGGAGGAGGAGGAGGAGGGTGGCCAGGACGGTTCTCGGCGCCCCCTTCCTCGCGCGGACGGCAGCACCGCAGCGGGGGGCCGGCGGGTTCCCGGGCGCCGTTCCGGCCGGCCTCGTGCCCTCCCCCGCGACCCGCCCGCCGCCCCAGTGGCCTCCGCAGGCTGCCCGGGCCCAGGGCGTCGCAGCCCTCTCGGGGCTCCTCGGCGATCCCGTGGCTCCGCAGTCCTCCCGAGGCCCCTCGGGCTGCCCAGACTTCCTCCGAGTCGAGACGAGCTTGGTCAGTCACGGAGCCTGGTCTCCGCTCGCGAAGTCTGCACCTCCAGTGCCGTCAACACGTGGCCAAGGAAGAGGCCAGGCCCTTGGAGGGCACGGCGGAGCCTGTGGAGAGGAGTCACCATGCCACGAAATTGTCCAACTTCATCGCGCCGGTTGAAGCAAAACAACAAATTATCCTGGCGAAGGACCCAACCATATGCAGTTGTGAGTATCGCAATTGTGAGTATCTTCTTCGGTGGCGCTCCCTATGGGGCCACGAACCGCATGAGGGGTGTGCCGAAATGTGGCGGGGTACACAACGCAAAGGAATACGATAGATCTGATTACGAGAGAAAGAACGCGGGTGAGTCAGAGCGCGAGGGAATCTGAGTATGAATGGGTCTGCGCGCGAGTGAATATATTTGCATGAATGCGATCATGGAACCGCCTAGTGTAAGTGTCGAGCATGCCTGTCCGAACACACGTGACACTGGGCGTGGCCGCCGCAGGCAGCTTCCGCGGGAACCCCGACGGCAGCGTCCGCACGTCGCGACGCCCATGTCGGCACGCCTCTTGCGAGGATCGCGCCCGCTTTCGGCTCTTCTTTTCCTTCCTCTTTGCCCGCGCACTCCAAAATCCAAGGCTGCGGGCGCAGCGCAGCGCGGAGTCCCCGCGACGCGCGCTGGTCGCCCCGGGCGGGGTCCCAGCGACGCGCGCGGGTCGTCCGCTGCGCGAAGCAGAGAGAGCTGACTAGCTAACTGGCTGGCTGATAGCGGGCAAGTCTCTGACCGCTGGGCAGAGCGACGACGGGCGAACGAGGCGCCGGGCCCCCCGCAGCACGGAGTTCCCGCGACGCGCGCTGGTCGCCCCGAGAGGGTCCCAGCGACGCGCGCGGGTCGTCCGCGGCGCGAGGCCAAACAATTAGTCGGGCAGTCGAGAGAAGGCGCGGCTCGGGGGAGACGCTCCTCAGGTCAGGCCTCGCGGATGAACTCGGTGAAGCCGAGCTCCCTGGCGAGGGCCGTCGCTTCCCTCCTGCACCGCTTCGTGCGCGCCGCAAACTGCTCCAGCTGCTTCCGCAAGCCCTGCGGCGGCCCTGCCAGGAAGAACTCGATGCGCGGCGCCCGCATGAGCAGGAGGTCCTCGTGGCGCGTGGCGCGCGAGAGCAGCACGTAGAGCTCCAGCCACCAGTCGTCGTCCTCCTTCTTGCCGTTCCCTACCTCGTGGCGGCCGCAATCCAGGATCACGCCTGGGCGACGTCGACCGAGGGAGCAGCGCGCCGGGCAGCCGACGGCCCAGGGCGAGAGTCCACAGGACCGAGAGATGGTCTGGCCGCGGACTGCTCGCGCCCCGGAGGTCTGGCCGCCCCCGGAGCGCCGTTCCCCCGCCCCGTCGCCTTCGCGCATGGTGCGCCCCTGGCACGCCACCGTGGTGATGACCCTGCCCGTGCGAGAACGCATGCGGGGGGGGTGCGAAACGTGTGAAATGGGTGGGGGTGACGCATGTGGACGGGGCACTGGGGCCTTCGGTGGAGCTCCCTATGGGGCCACGAAACGTGTGAGGGGTGTGCCGAAATGGGTGTGGGGACGCATGCGGGCGCGGGCACTGGGGCCTTCGGTGGAGCTCCCTATGGAGCCACGAAACGTGTGAGGGGTGTGCCGAAATGGGTGTGGGGGACGCATGCGGCCGCGGGCACTGGGGCCTTCGGTGGAGCTCCCTATGGAGCCACGAAACGTGTGAGGGGTGTGCCGAAATGGGTGTGGGGGACGCATGCGGCCGCGGGCACTGGGGCCTTCGGTGGAGCTCCCTATGGAGCCACGAAACGTGTGAGGGGTGTGCCGAAATGGGTGTGGGGGGACGCATGCGGCCGCGGGCACTGGGGCCTTCGGTGGAGCTCCCTATGGAGCCACGAAACGTGTGAGGGGTGTGCCGAAATGGGTGTGGGGGACGCATGCGGCCGCGGGCACTGGGGCCTTCGGTGGAGCTCCCTATGGAGCCACGAACGTGTGAGGGGTGTGCCGAAATGGGTGTGGGGACGCATGCGGCCGCGGGCACTGGGGCCTTCGGTGGAGCTCCCTATGAGCCACGAAACGTGTGAGGGGTGTGCCGAATGGGTGTGGGGACGCATGCGGGGCGCGGGCACTGGGGCCTTCGGTGGAGCTCCCTATGGAGCCACGAAACGTGTGAGGGGTGTGCCGAAATGGGTGTGGGGACGCATGCGGCCGCGGGCACTGGGGCCTTCGGTGGAGCTCCCTATGGAGCCACGAAACGTGTGAGGGGTGTGCCGAAATGGGTGTGGGGGACGCATGCGGCCGCGGGCACTGGGGCCTTCGGTGGAGCTCCCTATGGAGCCACGAAACGTGTGAGGGGTGTGCCGAAATGGGTGTGGGGGACGCATGCGGCCGCGGGCACTGGGAGCTCCCTATCGGTGTGAGCTCATGCCTATGAGAGCCACGAAACGTGTGAGGGGTGTGCCGAAATGGGTGTGGGGGACGCATGCGGCCGCGGGCACTGGGGCCTTCGGTGGAGCTCCCTATGGAGCCACGAAACGTGTGAGGGGTGTGCCGAAATGGGTGTGGGGGACGCATGCGGCCGCGGGCACTGGGGCCTTCGGTGGAGTTCCCTATGGAGCCACGAAACGTGTGAGGGGTGTGCCGAAATGGGTGTGGGGGACGCATGCGGCCGCGGGCACTGGGGCCTTCGGTGGAGCTCCCTACGGAGCCACGAAACGTGTGAGGGGTGTGTCGAAATGGGTGTTGATGATGATGATGGGAGGGGGGAGGAGGCAGCGGGAGGAAGGGAGGAAGGGAGGAAGGAAGGAAAACGCTGGGCACCGTCTCTTCAAAACGAGGACCCAACACCACAGGATGGTTGGGAAAAAATGTCTTCGAGTCGACAATATGTCACGGCGGATGGCTTTTGCTCCTTCTGGCCTCCGGGGGCCCTCGCCGGGGCCGTCAGAAAACGGCCCAGGATGAAGGACCAGTCTGGGGGAGGGGTCTGGACCAGACCTTCGGGAGCCTACGACGGAGGATGTCTGGGTGGCTCCACAGTCTGCATGAGGTCCCGCGGGCTTCCCCAGACCCGGCGGGCCCGGCGCAGGGCCACGTGCGCTCCCCGAGGCCCCGCGCATCCCAAGGCCCCACGTGATTCCCCGAGCTCCCCCACGAAGAACGCCGATCTGCCGATGCTGGCGTTGGTGCCTGCGACCCCGAGAGGGGCCGAGCTGCCCCCGGACATCGAGGTGGAGTGGCATGGGGAGCTGGGCCTGCACGCGGTCGCGGGCGTGGCGGAGGAGAAGATCTTCGTTCGAAGGGCCCCGAGGTCTGACCCGTTCCCTCCCTCTCCTCCATCCCCTCCATCCATGTCCCTGCATCTCGCTGTCTCTCCCTGTATCTCCCCCCTCTCTTTCCACCCTTTCTCCTCAGACCCTTCTCCTTGCCCATGTTTCTCCTCCAAGAGACTTCACCAGCACGTACTCTTCAGGTCTTGCTCGTCTGGGCAGTGCTTTTGTTTGCGCTGGCTCTGTTGCTGCCTGCCATCCTTTCCGGGGAGTCAGGGCCTGACCCTGACCCGCGTCCGACTCAAAAACCTTGGCCCCCGCTCGCCCCTTACGCCCCTCCCCCTCCATAGAGTCCCACGGAGTCCCTTCCCTCCCAGACCCCCGACGTCTTGTTTTTTTGTGCAACGTCGCCCCCCAAAGGTCTGGACCCCTTCCCCAGGACCGGTTTTTCATTCCGAGTCGTGCTTTGACGGCCCCGGGGCCCGGTGAGGGCCCCCGGAGACCGAAAGCAGCGACAAACCTCCCGTCGTGATTTTTGTCACCACGCGAGTGGCTTTGGGCTCCCCCCCTCCCCTCTCCTCCGGCGCAGTCTGTTCGGCGCCGCGTTTGCGCGACACCAGCGTTAAGCGGGCAGCTTTTGCGGCGGCAGCCGTGTTGCCAGGGCGTCCCGCTGCGGGGGTCGTTCGGCCGTCCGCGCCAGGGAGCCCAGCTCCGCAAAGGAAAACGTTCTGGCACGCAAACGCCGATATTCAAGGGCGCCCTCGAGGGCGCGAAGTTCTTTGCGCTTCGCGGTTCGGCTCCGATTCCTCCTCCTCCTCCTCCTCCTCCTCCTCCTCCTCCTCTTCCTCCTCCTCCTCCTCCTCCTTTTCTCCCCTGGAAGGCGGCGCTAGAGCGCGAAGTTAATTCGCACTTCTCGCTTCGCGCAGCGCGCAGCGCGAAGTTGGGAGCCCTTGGGATATTTTTGTCGGGCCCTGCGGCGCCCCGAAGGCACGTCCAAAGTCCCTGCGGCGCGCGCGGCCGAGTGCCCCAGGAGGGGGCGGGGCGGCTCGGGGGCCCCTTCCCCTCCCCCCCCCGTGCCCCGCTCTGCCCCCCCCCCCCCCCCCCCCACAGAGTCCCACGGAGTCCCTTCCCTCCCAGACCCCCTCCCCTCCCTCGGTAACAGAGCACGACCCCGCGTCACAGCCAGCGTCCGACCGACCCCTCCCCGGGGGAGTGAAGTCGGGCCTGTCCCCCCCCACGGGAGGAACATCCAAAAGTAGTACACACAAAAAGTCTGGGGGCTCTGTTTTGGGTATGCCTGAGCATGTTTGGGGTATTTTTGGAGCATTCGTTATTTTTCATCCCAGATCCCCCTGTAGGGTTATGATGTTCCAACCTACTTTTGCCTTGACCACCAGAAAGAATTTCGAGCGCCAGAAAAGTACCCAACAACTCGAGGGTTTTCACGTGTCGGGCCCTGGGAGACCCTCGTCCGACACTGTTTCGGCACTCTTTCGACACTCTTTCGACACTTTCCCGGTGCTCGAAATTATTTCTGGGATGTGGCCCTTAAGTACGACAGGAGCAACATAATTGTAGGGGGACGGGCCCGACGTCACGGTGGAGGCGAGGGCCCCCAGGCAGGGGCGGGGTGGCTCGGGGGCCCCTCGCCTGCCCCCCATGGGGCGTGGCGTGCGTCTGCGCGTGGGGCAGCAGGCCGCGGCGCGTCGAGCATGAAGTCGGGCCCGTCCCTCTGCAGGATTCCTCCTGTAGAGGGACATCGAGGAGCATCTTTGATCATCTGGCGGAAAAGCCACGCACAAAACCAAAAAAACACAGGAAATGGACGTCCGAGCGATGGCCAGGTTCGGCTACCGCCCTCGCCGTCCGCGGTCGGCCCCCCCCCTATCCCTCCTCGCCAGTGTTAAGTCGGGCCTGTCCCTCTACAGCAGGAGCATCTAAAAATAGTCATAAACTTCTCGGGGGACGATTTTTGGAGCATTTTTAGGGGAACAGAAAGTGGCATAAACATAACGACTCGGAGGTCCGCGCAAATTTCTCGGATCGGCGCTGGACCCCCCTCCCTGGCGCGCGGAGCGCGCTAGTGGCGGCGCCGGAGGCGCCGCCGGGGGGGCCCAGCGCCGATCCGAGAAATCCGCGCGGACCCCCAAGTTTTTATATTTATGTCTCTTTTTGTTCCCCTACTTTTCGACCATTGTTGTCGATGTTTTGACTATTTTTGGTTCTTCCTCGAAAATCCCCCTGCAAGGGGACAGGCCCGACTGAAGTCGAGCACCCGAATCGTCTGCTCTGTGCTCCACCAGGAGTCCGCCGCCAGCCTTTTCTGTGCGGTCGTGGCCCCAATTTGTTATGACGGGCTCGGTTGCGGCAGAAGGTCCTCACACAGCGCAGCTCACCATCGCGTTATTTGCTGCAACTGGTTTTGTCGGTTCGTGGTGTCTTGTTGGTGGTCTGGACGGCTTGCGTTCTGGCTGCTAACGAGGCACGACGGACCCGCTTGAACACCAGACTCGAACGGGAGATTGTCAGGCAGGGGCATGTGTAGCACAGCAGTTGTCAAGGAATGCAGGGTTGCGCTGGGCCCGCTGCCATGTGCAGGGGCCCCTTCTCAAACCCGCGATACTACTCGCTCTACGCGCGCTACACACCGCCGACACGATAACCTCTCTTTTGCCCATCGTTTCACATTCCAGTCTCTGGTTCGGTACCGGGCGAGGGGGGGAAGTGAGAAGGGGCGGGCCTTGTCAGAAGGCTCGGAAGTCCCCCCAGGCTTCTGAGGAGCTTTCTGAGCCTCCCCCGAAGGCAGAAAGAGCTCAGAAGGCGCGCGAGGGCCTCCGAGCAGCCCCGCCGCCTCCTGAGACGAGGCCTCCTCCTCCTCCTCGCTCCCCCCCCCCTGCTCGCCGCCGCCTCCCCCCGAGGTCGGACCTGCCGCGCTGCGCCTCGGGGGCGAACGCCGCCGACGCTCCCGGAGACGCGTGCCCGCGGCCCGCCGGCGCGCCCGACCGGGCCGGCAGCGGGCCCGCCGGGGCCGGCGGCGCAGGCGCCGCGGGGCGAGGCGCGCGCCTTTGTCGGCCTCTGCCCCTCGCCCCTCCCGCCGCCGCCCCCTTTCCCCGAGGGGAGGCGCAGAGGGGGGGGGGGGAGGCGGGAGGGGGGAGGAGAGAGGAGGAGGGGGGAGGAGAGAGGAAGAGGGCGAGGAGGAGGAGGAGGAGGAGGAGGAGGAGGAGGAGGAACAGGAGGAGGAGGAGGAGGAGGAGGAGGCTAAGAGGAGGCTAAGAGGAGGGAGGGGGACAAGAGGGGGGGGAGGGGGGGGGGAAAGATGAGGAGGAGGAGGGAAAGAGGAAGGGGAGGAGGGAGGAGTGGGTGGACGAGGAGGAAAGCGAGGTGGGAGGATGATCATGAGGAGGGAAGTCGGGGGTCTCTCTGCCTCCTCCCCCGCCCTTTCCTTCCGCCCCCAGGGTTTTTTTCCCGCCCTCCGTTTTTTCCTCCCGTCTCCCTGCTCCTAACTATTTACCTCTTTGAGGCCGTCTTGGGGGTCTCGTGGCCCGCCTTGAAGTCATTTTGGGTCGTCGTGGGGCTACTCGGGGCTGTCCCGACGTTCTCTTCGACACTGTCTTAGCGCTCTGTTTGCACTCTTTTGGAGCTTTTTGGAGGCTCCGGAGGCACTGGGGGCGCGTTGCGCAGCTCCCCCGCCCCGCCCCGCCCCTTCAATCGGCATTGTGGACCCCGGGGGAGGGGGAAAGAGGGATAGCCAACTGTACCACCACGCCTTTGCATCCCCGGCAAGCAGGTGTCGGCGAACCTGCTGCCACCTTCTGCTTTGTGCCGCTGCCTCCGCCACGGTCAGGGTCATGCCGACCGCGCGCCGCGCATCACAGCGCTTCCCATCCCCATGATCGCCTCTGAGGACGAGACCCGTTCCTGCATGAGTGCGCCGTGGGCGGGCGGCGAGAGCGCCACTGGTCCCAACTCCTGCCGGGTGCCGCCGCCAAGGTGCAGCAGCAGAAGCAAACATTTGGTGCCGCGCAGAGTGCACTCGTGATCTCCGGAAGGCAGAAGTATCGCGCGAACTGGGACTGTTTCCCATCCAATGTCCCTTGCGGAAGTTGGTTGGACCTCCTATTTTGCCAGGGCGATTCGTGGCGCCCGCGATTTTTGCGGGCCTGCGCCCTCCGGGTCCTGCCCCGGCGTGTTTTCACTGAAGAGTGTTTCGCTAAAGGATGTTCACTCAAGAGTGCTGTTGTTTTTCAGAAGACAACCTTCAACGACTGGGGTCTCCGGTGTACTGCGGCGTCAGTATATCGGGAAAGTTCCCACCACCCACTGTCCCAAACTCGGGCGAGGCGGAGTGCAGCGCGCGCAAGCAGTGGCACGAAGTTGGCGCGGGAGCAGGTCAATACGGCAATGCGTGATTGGTCAGGTCGCTAGTTGATGTGGATGTGGAACGGGTCTTTTTGCGCATCAGCATTTCGAAGGCAGAGTGCAGCTGCATCCAACCACCGATCATCCCGTATTTGCCGCGCGTCCGCTGCCGGCCAGTCCCGCCTTCGCGCCATGGCGACCGCGTCTTCGCACTCTGCACGATGTCCTCCTCTGCGCGGTCCGCTCCTCGGGTCTTTCCCGGTCCCACTCCCCAGACCACTCCTCGGTTCCTTGGCATCGCTCGGACGTGGGCATCTTTCCTCCGGCGAGGACCATCGAGGAGCGTCTTTGATCATCTGGCGGAAAAGCCACGCACGAAACCAACAAAAACACAGGGAGTGGACGTCCGAGCGACGGCCAGGTTCGGCTACAGCCCTCGCCGTCCGCGGTCGGCCCCCCCCCCGTCCCTCCTCGCCAGTGTGAAGTCGGGCCTGTCCCTCTATGGGGGGAATAGTCAAAAACAATCACTAACAAAAAAATCCTGGGGACTGTTTTTTCCTGTATTTTTTGACCACTTGGGGGTATTCTTGCGTATCTTCTATTTTTCGTGTCGTGGAATTCTGGACTATGTTTAATTTTTCGTCCAACATCCCCCGCTGTAGGGGGGACAGGCCCGACGCAGCGCCAGTGCCCGGCGGCCTCCCCGCGTGGGCGGCAGGGCGGCGGGGCCTCGGAGCAGGCTCGCGGAGAGAGGCAGCTTCCCCGGGAGGCCCGGAGGCCCGCGGAGCCCCTCCGGGGCAGGCCGGCCTCCTCTGCCTGTCGCCCCCCCCCCCGGGGGCTTGTGATGCCCCAAGAGGCCCCCAAGAGGCCCCCCTGGGCTTGTGATGCCCCAAGAGGCCCCAAGAGGCCTCAAGGAGGCCCCAAGAGGCCCCCAAGAAGCCCCCAGGGAGGCTCCAAGAGGCCCTCCAGAGGCCCAAGCGAGACCCCAAGAGGCTCCAGAACGGCCCGCCAGAGGCCTCAAAAGTGCTGCCGGGAGGCCCCCGAGAGACCTACCAGGAACCCCAAGGGGTCGGCGGCGCGGCGTAAGCCCACGATTTATTATGCTCCAGCCTACTTTAGCCTTGATCATCAGGAGGAATTTCGAGCGCCCAACAGAGTACCGAAACTCAAGGGTTTTCACGCGTCGGGCGCTGGGAGACACCCGCCCGACACTGTCTCGACACTCTTTTGACACTGTTCGGGGTGCTCGACATTATCTCTGGGACGCGGTCCTTACGTAGGATGGGGACAACATCACCCTGGGCGCGCCGCCGGAATGCCCCCTCCCTCGTGCTCCTCGGGAGGACGACGGGGCGCATGTTTGCGAATTTCCCGACGGACCCCAGCAGGTTCTCGCAGATTGCTGCGGCTCGTCGGACGAGCGCCCCAGCGCCAAGCGCCAGCAAGAGCTCAATGATCCTGCTACCCCTCGCCATCGCGAGCGTGGCGCGCAAGGTGCATGGCAAGGTGCCGAGCCTTCTACTCGGGCGTCGCGGCCGGATCACAGGCGCCTCCTGGTCTGGACGAGCTGATTGATGAGAACACGAACCACCATGGGGGCACGGGCCACAAGCAGTTCACCGTGGACGTCGCCAGCCAGGGGCGGATCGACGACAGGGCGAACATAGTTGACCAGCAGCAGAACCTCGAGGGCAACCGGCAGCGCACGGCAGAATACCAGCGGAGCAACGCGATCAAGGAGCTGTGCACCGACAGCTCCCAGACGAAAGACATAGACGAAACGAGCAACGTGTGTCTCCCGCAACACGTCGTGGGCGATGTCGAGAACCACTTGCAGAGCTTGGGGGATTACGAGTGCTGTTTTGCTGATTCCGACGGCAGCGACAGCACATCAGAGCCAGAAGGTGCTGTGTTGGACGACATGTATGACAAGGGAAAGCAGCGCTCGCAAACAAGTGATTGGTTTTCGTCCCGTAGGCTGTGCGATGAATACGAAGTGCCAGCGAGCAAAGTTCGCAGAGCAGTGCAGACATGGGCATCGATTGACGTTTTCGAAGTTTGCGAGAGAGGTGTTCGTGTTGGTACATGCATGGAGTTCGCCCCGTGCCTCACCCCCCCTCCGTTTTCAGAAGAACGTTGCCATGCGATGTGCTCGAGCGTGTCCCATGAGAGGTTAGCTTGAGCGCACCCCTTGACATGTGTTCCCCAAGCGGTGCTTGCGTTCGGGGTTCGGGCGAGAGGTCTGGCTCCTAACAATGCTTAACTTACATCATACGAGAATCCGATAGCTATGCAGGGAAATCCCTGCTAAAATGAGACTACGTCCAGCACGAGCTGGAGCGGCTTCCACGGGCGGCAGTGTCGACGGCTCCTGTTTCACAGTAGCCTGAGTGTTCCCCAGGGGTCCACAGCGTTTGACAGCTGACTCTGATGACTTCCAACGGCTCTACCACCACCGCCACCCACCCCTTCTCGTCGTCGTCGTCGTCGTCGTCGTCGTCGTCGTCGTCGTCGTCGTCGTCGTCCTCGTCGTCCTCGTCGTCCTCGCTGTCCTCTCCACGAGCCCGTTCCCACACAGCTCGGGGCGCGTCGTGGTGCCCCAGCTCTCGGCCCCGTCGGGGTTGGCCAAGAGGGGGGCGAGGAGGGCAGGGATCGTGGCCGTGCCTATGATGACTCTCCCCGGATCGCGTGGCCCCGCCGTCATCTCTTCAACGCGCCCCCCACCCCGCCCTTGCGCCCCTCAGCCGCGCACGTGGCTTCCGGCCGCGATGCGCCCCGCGCCCCAGGCCTCCGACGTCCTGAGTTTTTCGATGCGCTTCCCCCGGGAGCCTCGACACCTTTTCCCGGGGCGCCTTCTCGAGTGATTGATCACGACGTTGGTTGGAGGCCGCGCACCCCGGGCGCCTTCTCACCCTAAGTAGTTACTGTTGCAGTCGCATCGGCACTTCTCCCCCTTCTCACCTCCACGCCCCCTTCCCTGTACGCCCCCTTCTCACCTCCACGCCCCCGATCTCTCCCGCGCGGCAGGGGCGCCCCACGCGGGCGCGACCTGCCACCTGCAAGAGGCGCTGGACGACTACAGGGCGAGGGCGTTGCTGGACAGGCTGCTGGCTGGCAGCGCGTCAGGGTCGACCGACGGATGCAGCGAGGCGCCGACGAGGAGGGAGAAAGAGGAGGAGGACGAGGAGGAGGAGGAGGAGGAGGAGGAGGAGCACGAGGAGGAGGAGGAGGAGGAGGAGGAGGAGGAGGAGGACGAGGGAGGAGGAGGAGGAAGAGAGGAGGAGGAGGAGGAGGAGCGGAGGAGGAGGAGGAGGAGGAGGAGGAGGAGGAGGAGGAGGAGGAGGAGGAGGAGGAGGAGGAGGAGGAGGAGGAGGGGGGACGGCCGGAGGAGGAGGAGGAGGAGGAGGAGAGGAGGAGGAGGAGGAGGAGGAGGAGGAGGAGGAGGAGGAGGAGGAGGAGGAAGGCGGCAGGAGGAGGAGGAGGAGGAGGCAGGAGGAGGAGGAGGAGGAATGATGATGATGATGATGATGAGGAGGAGTAGAGGAGGAGGAGGAGGAGGAGGAGGAGGACGATAGGAGAGAATGGAGGAGGAATGGAGTGAGGAGGAGGAGGAGGAGTGACGAGGAGGAAGAGGACGAGGAGGAGAGGAGGAGGAGGAGGAGAAGGGGAGGAGGAGAAGGAGGAGGAGGAGATGGGACGAGGACGAGACGAGGACGAGGAAAAGGAGGGGGAGGGGGAGGAGGAGGAGAGGAGGAGGAGGAGGAGGAGGAGGCGGAGGAGGAGGAGGGAGCCAAGGGCAGGAGGAGGAGGAGGAGGAGGAGGAGGAGGAGGAGGAGGAGGAAGGAGGAGCACGGGAGGAGGGAGGAGGCGGGCGGAGGCGAGGACGAGGACCGGGAGGAAGGAGGAGGAGGAGGAGGAGGAGGAGGAGGAGGCCGCACGAGGAGGAGGGAGGAGGAGGAGGGACGAGGACGAGAGGAGGAGGAAGGAGGAGGACGGAGGAGGAGGAGGCGGGAGACGAGGAGGAGGAGGAGGAGGAGGAGAGAGGAGGAGGGAGACGAGGAGGAGGGAAAAGGAGGAGAGGAGGAGGAGGAGGAGGAGGAGGAGGAAGAGGAGCCCACGAAGGAGGATGGGAGGAGAAGGGAGGAGGAGGGAGGAGGACGAGGACGAGGAGGAGGAGGAGGAAGATGATGATGATGATGAGGAGGAGGAGGAGGAGGAGCACGAGGAGGAGCACGAGGAGGAGCACGAGGACGAGGAGGACAAGGAGGAGGAGGAGGAGGAGGAGGAGGAGGAAAGGGAGGAAAGGGAAGAAAGGGAGGAAAGGGAGGAAAGGGAG